ACAAAAGGGTCCATCAGTGTGGCAAACTTTATTGTCTTATTTTAAGAAACTGCCACGGGCACAGTGTGGCTGTAATCTTAGCACTTTTGGGAGTTGGAGACCAGCCTGGGCAACCTGGTGACACCCTGTCTCAACAAAAAAGACAAAAAGTAGCCAGGCATGGTGACGTGCACCTGTAGTCCCAGCTACTCAGGAGGCTGAGGTGGGAGGATCACCTGAGTCTGGGGAGGTCGAGGCTGCGGTGAGCTGTGATACTGCCACTGCACTCCAGCCTGGCTGACAGCGTAAGAGCCTGTCAAAACAAAAGCAAAACCTTGCCACAGCCAGCCAGCCCTCGGCAATAACCACCCTGATTACTCAGCAGCCGTCGATGTGGAGGCAATACCCCCAGCAGCAAAACGACGACAGCTTGCCAAGGGCTCAGGTGATCATTAGCATTTCGTAGCAATAAGTGATTTTTAAATTAAGGAACATACATTTTTTAGACGTAATGCTATGCACATGATAGACAAGAGAATCGTGGAAGCATAAGCTTCGTATGCTCAGGGAACCAACACACGTGTGACTTGCTTTAACGTGCTGCTTGCTTGATCGCTGTGGTCTGGAGCAGACCTGCAAGGCCTCCGAGGCCCCCTGCTCCTCACCTTGGCCTGCCTTCGCAGCATGGCCGGGCTCTGTCCTCATTACCCCACCCGTTTGCTCACCACTTGTCTGCCGTGGTGGCCTTTTCCTAAGCCCCTAACGTGCCTCATCGTCCCCCAGTTCTTGGAATGGTTCCTGAGAGCCCCTGCTCCAGCCTCTGCCACCCACTCCGTCTTGGCATGCCAGCGCTCACGCAGCCCCTAACGCAAGCCAACTGTGGCTCTGCCTACAGCGTGCTTCCTCCTGGGCTGCAGGAAGACTGTGTCTTGTGGTCGTATTTGCTGCAGCTTTGCTGTCTGGATGGAGCCTGGCACGGGGCTGGTTGAAGCCGTCTGCAGTCCCTACTGGGCTCTTCCCTTGGCAGCTTCTTACGGAGGCCGGGACCTCACAGCATGTCACCCCCAGGCCCACAGATCAAACGAATCCACACTCTCAGCTCCTAGAATTGTTCTCCCTCTCTCGTGGGATGGACGGAGCAGACACTCTTGTGCAGATGTCCGGCTCCACCTTCTAACCTGAGAGTCTGGGTAACATAACTCCTGACAGGTGATAGCTCTTCGTAGCAATCACTAACACCTCGCCCAGCCAAGGGCCCGGAAGCAAGAAAAAACTATGACCAAAACACCACATCACAGCAAAGAGCCTCGAATGCTGCTTGCACAGCTCAACCAGCCCGAGTTTCCAGTGGCCCACATCCTGCAGAAATGAAGCCTCAGGTCAGGAAGGGCGAGGAGGGCTATGGATGAGGCCTGACAGCAGCAGAGGGGCGCAGAAGGCCTGAGGGACACAAAACCTCTGAGGCTTAGTCGTGGGCAGCGGGGAAGCACAGCAGTTTTGCAGGAATATGTGTCAGGAAGCAAGGAATACGTACAGGATGGGTTTACTAATGTTCTAATACTCTTTTATACTGCTCAAGCAGCCCCGGTATGTAATTTTGCAACATTATAAATTGTTTCTAAAAATGCACATTTGTGTAAAAAGCTGGCCTCCTAGCCTACACTGGGTAAGGCACAGAGCGTACCACCGGAGTGCTCACAATTAGAGTACTCGTAGCATATATATATATATATATATATTTTTTTTTTTTTTTTTTTTTTTTTTTTTTTTTTTTTTTTTTTTTTGAGGCTGAGTCTCGCTCTGTTGCCCAGGCTGAAGTGCAGTGGCACGATCTCAGCTCATTGTAACCTCCACCTCCTGGGTTCAAACTATTCTTGTGCCTCACCCTCCTGAGTAGCTGGGATTACAGGTGCCTGCTGCCATACCCGGCTAATCTTTGTATTTTTCGGAGATGAGGTTTCACTACGTTGGCCAGGCTGGTCTCAAACTCCTGACCTCAAGTGATCCACCCGCCTTGGCGTTCCAAAATGTCCGGATTCCAGGTGTGTGCCACCGCGCCCAGCCTCGTGGCCTGTACTGTAACACGCTTTGTGCAGTGTCGTCCCCAGGATTCCAGGTGTGCGCCACCGCGCCCAGCCTCGTGGCCTGTACTGTAACACGCTTTGTGCAGTGTCGTCCCCAGGGCTTAGCCTGCAGTTGAGCCAGCCCTAAAGTCATCCGAGGCCGTGCTGTGTTCTGCCGTGGTGCTGCGTCTGTGAGCACACACGGCCCGACCTCTGCTCCTGGCCCCTGTGCCTATCCCTAAATGTCCCCCTTCCCTGCCCTGTCCCCAAAGGCTCCACAAGACTGACGACATGCCCTGTTGTCTGTGCCTTCTTTACAGGGGACACCTGTGTGTATTTATCTATTTATACAGAGAGGGTCTTGCTCTCTGTGGAGTGCAGTGTGCAATCACAGCTCACTGCAGCCTCCAACTCCTGAACTCAAGTGATCTTCTCATCCCAGCCTTGCGAGTAGCTGGGACCACAGGCATGTCACCACATCTAGGTTATTTTTGTAGAGACAGGGTCGGTCTCAATGTATTGCCCAGACTGGTCTGGAAATCATGGCTTCAAGCCATCCTCCCTAGTCAGCCTCCTAAAGTGCTGTGATTACAGGTGTAAGCCACTGTGCCCAGCCTTTTTTTTTTTTTTTTTTGAGACAGCGTCTCACTCTGTCACCCAGGCTGGAGTGCAGAGGCACAATCTGGGCTCAATGCAACTTCTGCCTCCCAGGTTCAAGCAATTCTCCTGCCTCAGCCTCTGGAGCAGCTGGGATTACATGCGCCCACCACCACATCTGGCTAATTTTTGTATTTTTACTAGAGATGGGGTTTCACCATGTTGGCCAGGCTGGTCTTGAATCCTGACCTCAGGCGATCTGCCCACCTTGGCCTCCCAATGTGCTGGGGTTACAGGTGTGAGCCACTGCGCCCAGCTAGGACTGATGCTTAAAAGTCCATATGTAGATTAGTAAAGTGTTTCCACCTGGGAGTGCTTGTTAGTGCAGGTTAACAACTGTGAGTGAGCAGGGGTGGCCCCAGGACACACACACTTTCCACTCTGCCTGCTGCGTCTCCTCTGCAGGTGTATCATCATTCGGGACAGTGCGCCTCACTGAAGTCTGCTTAGAGGATGGCAGAATTCTCATCACCACTGAGACAGGTCCCGCTACTCATGCAGCAGTCTAAAGTTGTACATTATTTACTTATTGTTTTGAGGCAGAGTCTTGCTCTGTTGCCCAGGCTGGAGTGCAGTGGTGTGATCTTGGCTCACTGCAACCTCCACCTCCTGAGTTCAAGTGATTCTCCTGCCTTAGCCTCCCAGGTAGCTGGGATTACAGGCACCCACTACCACGCCTGGCTAATTTTTGTATTTTTAGTAGAGATGAGGTTTCACCATGTTGGCCAGTCTGGTCTCGAATTCTGACCTCAAGTGATCTGACTACCTTGGCCTCCCAAAGTGTTGGGATTACTGGCATGAGCCACTGTGCCTGGTAAAAGTTGTAAATTATTTTCCCTGTCATAAAATGACTTTACAAGCCATATTTTCAAATGATAGTATGTTGATCAATAAATCACGAAGTGATTCAGAGCAGGTGAAGGTCACAGCTCATGAGAAAAGGATCACATTGGAAGTAGAGAACGGCACCTTCAGGGAGGGCAGTATTTGAACAACAGAGTGGAAACACTTCTTATGGGCCACTTCAACTGTATTTTGCTTCCAATTTGTGTCATGGAAAATCCTTCCTGTGCTTCACAGGACATTTTAACGGGGTTATATCTAGTTGCCTTTTCTTTTGAGATGGAGTCTTGCTCTGTCACCAGGCTGGAGTGCGGTGGCTCGATCTCGGCTCACTGCAGCTTCCGCCTCCAGGGTTAAAGCGATTCTCTTGCCTTAGCCTCCTGAGTAGCTGGGATTACAGGGACGTGCCACCACACCCAGCTAATTTTTGTATTTTTAGTAGAAACGAGGTTTCACCATGTTGGCCAGGATGGTCTCGATCTCTTGCCCTCATGATCACCCTGCCTCGGCCTCCCAAAGTGATTGGATTACAGGCGTGAGCCACCGCGCCCGGCCTCTGGCTGCTCTTATAATTAAAGCAGAAACGTGTAATAGCTCAAAACCAGCATGACTCTTGCTCATTCATGAAAAGGCCCATAGTCTTCCCACATGGCAGGCAGCTTCTTGTCCTTGGTCACCCAGGGACCCCAGCTCGCCCCTGGTTGGTCCACTTGGCTTCTATGTGCAGTTGGTAGCACGAAGAGACTATGAACAAAGCACTCCCAATGGCTTCTCTCCACTGCCCCAGGCAAGAACACACAGCTAGGTGCTCCTTAACACTGGTGGGGCTGGGGAACGCAGTCCTTGTGAGGCAGCTGCAGACGGCCCTCTCTATGGTCTGGAGGAGGGCATGGCCCGTGCCAGGCTGGCCTTCCCCACTGCACAGGAGAGGAAAGCCCGACACTTCTGTGGCAGACACGTGGGAGCAGAAGTCCACTCGAGAGGAGGGAAGGGGCCCTTTCCCAAGGGCCTCAGTGGTTAAACGGGTCTAAAAGATGGACCCATGTCAGGCACAGTGGCTCACACCTATAATCCCAGCATTTTTGGAGGCTGAGGTGGGCGGATCACCTGAGCTCAGGAGTTCGAGACCAGCCTGGCCAACATGGGGAAACCCTGTCTCTACTAAAAATACAAAAAAATTAGCCAGGCATGGTGGTGCATGCCTGTAATCCTAGCTACTTGGGAGGCTGAGGTCAGAGAATCACTTGAACCCGGGAGGCAGAAGTTGCAGTGGGCCAAGGCTGTGCCACTGCACTCCAGCCTGGGCGACAGAGGGAGACTCAGTCTCAAAAAAAACAAAAAAAGAAAAGGACCCAGCCTTACAAGCATTTGGGAGCAGGAGAGTGAGGCAGGATTCGTTTCCTCCACGTGGCCCCCAGGCATTGAGAAAGGAATCCGGGTTCAGGAACATAAGACTGCTTTCAAAATATATTTTATTTCTTTTTTACATGTATTTTGCAAAATTTCCAAGGTAAACATTAGCTCCACATATAGAAATAAAAGAGTTCTTTAAGAACTAGCATTTGATTCATCACAAGAATGATCAAATTATGACAACGGAAAACAAACTAAAGCTACCGAGCTGAAGTGAAGAGCTGTCTTTACAAAGATCCCTCTCAGTGAGCCCCTGCCCTGCAGCTGACTCAAGCCCTCATGTATGCACGTGGGTAAGAAAGGACACTGGCCGGGTGCGGTGGCTCATGCCTGTAATCCCAGCACTTTGGGAGGCCGAGGCAGGTGTATTACCTGAGGTCAGGAGTTCGAGACCAGCCTGGCCGACATGGTAAAACCCTGTCTCTACTAATAATACAAAAACTAGCTGGGCATGGTGGCACATGCCTGTAATCCTAGCTACTAGGGAGGCTGAGGCAAGAGAATCGCTTTAACCCGGGAGGCGGAAGCTGCAGTGAGCCGAGATCGAGCCACCGCACTCCAGCCTGGCGACAGAGCAAGACGGAGAGAGAAACTTCATCTCAAAAAAAAAAAAAACAACAACAACAAAGAAAGGCCACTGGCACAGTACAGCAGCTTTGCAATTTCAAAGACTGTTTTAGTGTTAGCTCCCATGAGTGCATCTTCCACAAGCATTTGGTGCTTTGCACTACTGACTGTGATGGGTTAGTTCTGAAGTGTGATCAAGAAGACATTCTCTTGGAGATACATTTTATATAAATCTAGTAACGTGCTAAATTGTCAAACGGTTAATGGTACTAAACACGCAAAGACATCATCTTGTAAAGCCTCTACATCTCTGCATCATCATCATCATCATCATCATCTTCATCGTCTTTGGCTCTGAAATGCATTTTTCTGAACTCTCGTCTGCTCATTGAAGGACAAGATGAAGACGCAGGTGGGAGGTCCTTAGAGGGGAAGAAAACACGGACTTCAGTCACGAACAACACACATTTGCATCTGCATCCATAATGCACACCATCCACTCACTCTGGGGCTGCAGAGCACTCTTCCCTTTTAGACGCGTGAAAATGACTGAGTCCCAGCACCTTCTCTAGGTAAGAGCTTCCTCCCTAGTGGGCTGATCAAGCAAAGAGAAGGAAAGATGCTGGGTTCAAAACAAAAGAGAAAGCAACAGAAAGTGTGGGATGGACGCTCCAAAAACCACAAACCTGATTCCATGAAAACACACCTGGGGCTGCTGGAGGAGACTGCCCCCCTTCCCCCGCCACAGCCTTTCCCCATGGCAATGGTTCTCAGCTTGGGAGATGAAGGGAGTGCTCCCAATTAGCCCATGGTTTCATTTTCATCTCTGGGGTTAAAATGATTAACTGACGTTGAATTTTGTGTCAAGGCATTATTTACATGCAGTAAGTGGGGAGTGTGTGACTTGAATGTGCCGCTGGCTGCCTGATGCCCTCGGAAGGAGGAAGGTGCCACTCTTACCTGCATGAGTTCGACGTTTCCAAAGAAGCGGCTCACGGGCATTGGCTGATTGCTGTCGTCATCTAGGAAGATGCTGTTGTCCATCTGAAGTGGTGGCTTCTTCATGTCCTCTGCCTCCAGCCCTGACTCATTCTGCTTCTGCACAGTGGAGCTGCTGTTGGATTCTTCTGCCCCTACCCCGGCACTGTGTTTCGGCAGGGACAGGCCACCATCAGTCTTTGCTAAGCGAGAGTCACTCACAGCTCTGCAGCCACCGAGGGGCAGACTTGCAGCCTCCTGCTGCACAGAAACTCCAGCCTCACCTCCTGGAAGCAAGGCCCTGCCTTCAGCAAACTCATCTTCACAAGGGGTCTCTGGTGTCACTTTTGGCAAAGAAGCACTGTCATTCTTAGGGACAAGCTTCTGTAATTCTGACTTCACAAGATGACCTTTGTCACACTTGAACTTCTTGGACATTCGCCTGTCTGTGGCTTTGTGGGATGAGGAAGTCTGTCAAGAAAAAAAATGTAAGGGGAACCAGACATACTTAGCAAATAAAACAGGCCTTGATCCAGAGGCTAGTATTTCTTCTCACATGTGAAATGAAAGACCACAACCTTCACAGATCCCCATTTCACTGTTCTGCCACCAAGAGACAAAATCCAAGTGAGGCTGTGACTGAATCCAGACACACCCCAAGAGCACCCCTCCACTTTGTTTTCCTAGAGGCGTCACAGTTCCTGAGGGGAGTTCTGAAGCATGGATTTATGTATCAGACAATTACAACAAAAGAATCCAGCTTTCATGCATTTCTGCTAGGGCAAAAGCTCCGTGAAGGCAGGGGTCTTTGCTTTATTCACGGAATACTGTCTGGCATACAGTAGGTGCTTAAAAATATTTGCTAAATTGACTTTGACAAATTTTTACCAAACCCCTCATTATGAGGCTGGCATATGGCCAAGTCCCAACCCCTCAGCTGCAGCTCCGGGCTCAGTGGCACAGCTCTGCTTCCCCGGTAAGTTCAGGAGCTCACTCCTCGGAAATGACAGCTACGCTAGGTTGAATGGCATTTGACATGAGCATCCTTTCCCCACCCACTCTGCCTTTCTCTTAAAGCCTCTGGGGGTGAGGCAGCACGGCAATGGGCCAGCAAGACTCGACAGCTGACCTAAGAGCAGACTGATGAGCCCAAGTGGTCTCAGAGCCTGGGTCTAGACACACACACGGGTGGGTGGGCAGGTGCTAGGATACAGCTTGGGTCTAGACACACACACGGGTGGGCAGGTGCTAGGATACGGCCTTGGTCTAGACACACACACACACACACACACACACACACACACACACACAGGTGGGCCTGTCGAGTGTGTCTTTCCCTGAAGGCAATTAGAGTGCTGCCACCTTTTCAACTGAAATACTCCCCCTCTGGCAGATAAGCAACATTTGATATTTTTCTAAAGTGACACATCTTGGAATGACAATTTTGTATGAAAATCAACCCTTGAGTCAGGAACTTGGCATTCTCCATGGTAATAGGGCTCACCAGACATGCTGTCTTGGCAGACGTGGAACCAGCGACTTCCTGGGCAGAGGCCAACCCGGTTGCTGAACAATTTCGGGCTTTCAGGCGTGCTGAAGACCGCACTCCACCTGTGAGCTAGACCAGATCAACAGCCAGTCAGGGAGTACTCTCGGAAGGCAGCATGAATGCGCAGAGGAGAATTTTCCACCTCCAGATCAATAGCCAGTCAGAGAGTACTCTCGGGAAGGCAGCGTGAATGCGCAGAGGAGAATGTTCCACCTACAGATAACTCGAAGATAGCCCCTCCACTCCCATGGAGTATCATCTTTGTGGAGACACCTGTGGCCTGAATGTGCATATCCGAACAAAACTGTGCCTGGGTTTAAGATACAGGAGCTCCTCTTTCCAGGATCTCGGAGGCTTGGGGCAATCTGGTCCCTTATCTTGCACGTTTCTAGTAACCACCATGTGTACATTAGTGGAACTTAAGTCAACTTCAAAGTGTTTAGAATAAGCAGGACATGCCCTCCCTGAGAAGGATTTGCAACTTTTCTACACTGTCAAATTCTTGATAAAAGGCAACATGAGGAAACCAAAGCTTCTCTCCCTCAAATTAGAGTCCTATTCTATTAGCTGAAAGCAGCAAGCTACTGTCCCACAAATCTTCATACTAACAAGCTGCTCTACCCCTCTTTCATTCCGAATGCAAAGCAAACTCTTCTAATAACAAGAAAGAAATTAAAGACACAACACTTTAAATAACTAGGAATAATTTTAGGTTTTCAGAAAAGTTGCAAATAGTAGCCCAAAGAAACGGGTGTGATGGCTCACACTTGTCTTCACAGCTACGTGGGAGTCTGAGGCAGGATTGTTTGAGGCCAGGAGTTCAAGATCAGCCTGGGCAACACAGCAAGATCCCATCTCTAAAAAAATAAAAAAATAAAAAAAAAAATTAGCCAGGTGTGGTGGTGTGCACCTGTAGTCCCAGCTATATGGGAGGCTGAGGTGAGAGGATCACTTGGTCCCAGGAGTTTGAGGCTGCAGTAAGCTATGACTGCCCCACTGCCCTCCACCTGGGTGACAGAGTAAGACCGTGTCTCTGAAAAAATAATGATAAAAAAATAGTAGAGAGGGCTGCTACGTACCCTTCAGTCAGCTTCCACTAATGTTAAACAACCATAGGACATTTGTCAACATTCAGAAGTTAGTGGCCAGATAGGGCGGCTCACACCTGTAATCCCAGCACTTTGAGAGGCCAAGGTGGGTGGATCATCTGAGGTCAGGAGTGCGAGACTAGCCTGGCCAACATGGCGAAACCCTGTCTCTACGAAAAATACAAAAATCAGTCAGGCATGGTGGCACATGTCTGGAGTCTCAGCTGCTCGGGAGAATCGCTTGAACCCGGGAAGCAGAGGTTGCAGTGATCTGAGATCGCGCTATTACACTCCAGTCTGGGTGACAGAGGGAGACTCCATCTCAAAAAAAAAGAAAGAAATTAGCGACAGCACAATACTCTTCACTAAATTATAGACTTATTTGTGTTTTATCAGTTTCTCCATGAACTGTTTTCTCTGTTCCGGAATCCAGTCTAGAATACCATATTGCACTTAGAAAATGATACGTTTTAAAACTCATCTTAAAACACAAAAGAAATGAGTGTGAGTAGTAGAAGCAATAAATAGGGGCAATGCAGGTTGGAACGGCCAGGAAAGGCCCAAGAGCTACTGTCGACAGGCCCTAGAACTGGAACTCAGAGGGATGGATGAAGAGCGCTCTGCCCAACAGATGAGAGAAATAAAAAAGGAAACAGCAGCAGCAACAACACACAGAAATAAGCTATCTCCGCCATCAGCCCGTAGCCTAAGAGCTCCGGAAACCCTGGGAGGTGGCAGCTCCAAGACGCCATGATACTGTGGCAGTTGGCGTTGCGTTTGAAACAGGGAGGTGGAGAGCAGGCAGCAGCCCACAGACCAGGACACCTGCCAGCTATACACAGAACGAACCAGGTGCCCACAGGCCCATGAAGCACCTGCTACCATGGCACACCGGGGGTTGGGCCTCCGTCCTCTCATGAGGGCAGGGCTTTGCTGAGAGCCCCGGCAGACGTCATGGTCACAGCTACACCAAGGGAGCTGAGGCAAGAGAAGTAACAGAGCTTGCTAAGAGTTGCCATAAACACCTTTCACCAAAATCCTCCCACTGGGTCTGAAGCCCATCTCCCTAAATTGCCATCATGAGCCTCATAGGGAAAAGACACCTCTGTTCCAGAAAGCCTCTGCCCATTGTCTCCTCCCTGCTGGGAGCCATCCTCCAGGTGCTGCGCTGCCCTGCGCCGGAATATGCTGTGCGGTGAGCCAAGCTAAAGGAGCGGCACCCCCATTTCAGATGAGGAGAACTTGGGTAAGGAGCTTATAAGGTTACACAAGTGATGCCTGGCCTCCAAACCTCTCTTCCATCACCATAGCTCACCCTAGATATGACCCCTAAAAACTGCCTGAAGTGGGCACTGAACTCTGTTCTGCGCCTGCAGGTCCGTGTTCCGCGCCTGCGCGACTGTGTGTTCTGCGCCTGCGGGGCTCAGCGTTCCGCGCCTGCGCGTCTGTGTGTTCTGCGCCTGCAGGTCCGTGTTCCGCGCCTGCAGTTCTTTTCCTGCAGCAGGTGCGTCTCAAAGATTCCATCAGCATCTTGGCAGCAGTGGTTCTGAACTCTTCACGTGTGACAGGCTCATCAGGTGACCTTTCAGCCCCTTCTGCAGAGAAAAGCCAGAGGATCTGGTGGGCTTGGAAGCGCGGGCTGTTATAGACACCTGAGCCGGCCATTTGCTGTCCACTCCGGACTGACAGGAGTCAAAATATGAGAGCAGCTTAGCTTCCGTTTCATCATGGATTAACCACCTCCAAGGTGTCAACTCTAAAATGTCAAGAATTGGTCACATTCTCACTTGCAGATTCTTGCTCTGCAGTTGGGCAGCTCAGATTGGTCCCACAGTCCAAAAACGAAATACCTTCTTATCATTGACATCCTCCGCATGCTAGTAGGTTGTTTAAAAACTGGAATAGCAGAAGCACAAACACAGTTTCTCCAAAAGGGCTGGCCGAGACAGCTTGAGGACCTACTCAGACAAAGTGATGAGCAGTCCCAAAACCACCATTTAGAGAGCCTTTGGAAATGGTCCTACGGGCACCCAGCAAATGGAGAAACACTTGCTCCAGAATATCTACATTATTTGGTCAGGACATGGAGAGTCTGGGGGCATTTGAGCTCTGTCCTGCTGCAGCCAAGAACACAGGGCCAGCTCCCCCGGCTCCCAGGCAGAGGGCTTTCTTCCCAGGGCAAGCAGGGCAGCAGTGTTTCCCTTTCTGCTGTCATCCCACTTGTTGCTGAGATGAGGTCCTGAGTGAGTAGGATGGAGAAGAGGGGCCTCCCTTCTGCTCAGACCCTATTTGTAGAATGGAGGCTTCATCTTGGCTCCATAAACTTCCCAGTGAACTAAGAAGACTGGGGCCCCATCAACCTTGTCCCTGATAGGAGGTGGTTCCAGACCAGGGGAAGCAAATGTGGAGGATCTCAGGCTGCTGCTACATCCCCCGCCGCCCCCATTCAGAGAGAAGCCTATTGTCGTCCATAGCCGAACAGCCTGGCTCTGAGGTTCTCACTGGGGTGAGGGGCAGGCAACTCAACAGACAGCTCTTAGAGTCTTCCCAAAGGCACTCAATTCACTGCAATGGAATGTGGAGAAGTTCAAGCCTAAGCGAGCTCTCTCAAGAACAGTGGAGGCTGTGACAAAGCAGGTGGGGGGCAGTGCAGAATCAAGCAAGAGGCCAAATTGTAGGCCAACTAGTTTGCTGGAGAGAACCAGAGACTAACACGGCTGGAAGGGGCCCTCTTGGACTTAGAACAAACTAATCAAACACTGATCTTAGAAAGTATCCCTCCAAAGAAGCCACAATTTGATTAGATTAGTTTGTAGAGCAACTTATGCCCAGGCTATTGCTGAGAATAGCACAATTAGCTGGCATTAGCAAAGTTTAACAGCTGAATGTGGTCAGAGAAAGAGGAAAGGGACCCCACTAAAACCACTGTCATCCAGGGTGGCTGTGGGCACACCCAAAGCTGGGCGCCATCCCCCACCAGCAACATCAGAGGCTGAACACTGTGGCAGGGGAAACATACTTCATCAAAATAATCTATCCAGTTGCTAAGCAAATAAGCATATTAACAATGACAAGCCCCAGGGTTGGGGACAGTACCCACAATTGCTAAAATATATTATCTAAAATGTCCAGATTCTGACAAAAAAATATGAAGCAATCAAAGAAACAGAAAACTAGACTCAGACCCTGAAATAAAAGCAGGGCACAGAAGCTGTCTGTGAGAGTGACCAGAAGTTGGATTTATATATATATAAAGGACCAAGGTAGCCATTATAAATAAGATCAAAATCATGAAAAAAGAAGAAAGATAATGTTGTATCAAACAGACTATCAATAAAGAGAAATTACTTAAAAATCAAATAGAAATTCTGGAGTAGAAAAGTCTAAAAACTGAAAAAAATTCACTAGAAGGGCCCAATACTAAATGTGAACTGGTAGAATAAGCAAACTTAAGCTAGATGGAGAGATTATGCCCGCTGAGAAACAGAGAGGAAAAGAATGAAGAACAATGAAGAGAGCCTCAGAGAAATGTTGGACAGCATTAAGCGCACTAACATATATGTAATAAGAACCACAAAGAATGCAGACAGGAAGAAGCAGAAAAAATATTCCAAGAAATAATGGCTGAGAACTCCCCAAATTTACAGAAAAACATCAACCTACATATCCAGGAATCTGAATGAACTGAACATGCAAAGAGATCCACAGATACATCACCGTAAAGATACAAAGATCAAGGGCAAACTCTTGAAAGCCACAAGAAGAAAGCCATTTAGAAGGCAACTTCAATAAATGAAGGACTGACTTCTCAGTTGAAACAATGGAGAATATTCAAACATATTCAAAATGCTCAAAGGTAAAACAAAAAACAAACTAACAGCCAGGTGCAGTGGCTCACACTTGTAATCCCAGCACTTTGGGAGGCCGGGGCAGGTGGATCATGAGGTCAGGAGATCGAGACCATCCTTGCAAACACAGTGAGACACTGTCTCTACTAAAAATACAAAAAATTAGCTGGGCTTGGTGGCACGTGCCTGTAGTCCCAGCTACTTGGGAGGCTGAGGCTGGAGAATCGCTTGAACCTGGGAGGTGGAGGTTGCAGTGAGCTGAGACCACACCACTGCACTCCAGCCTGGGTAACAGAGCGACTCCATTTCAAACAAACAAACAAACAAACAAACAAACAAACAAACAAACTAACTGGGACTTGTATCTAGCAAAGCTATACTTCAAAAATGCCTATAATCCCAGAGCTTTGGGAGGCTGAGGCATTGTAGATGACCTGAGGTCAGGAGTTTGAGACGCAGCCTGGCCAACATGATGAAACCCCATCTCTAGTGAAAATACAAAAATTAGCTAGCGTGGTGGTGAGCACCTGTAATCCCAGCTGTTCCAGAGGCTGAGGCAGGAGAATCACTTGAACCCAGGAGGCGGAGATTGCAGTGAGCCGAGATTGTGCCTCTGCACTCCAGCCTGGGCAACAGAGCGAGACTCCAACTCAAACCAAAAAAACTCACTTTACAAGAAATACTAAAGGAAGTTAGACTGAAAGCAAGTGACCCCGGACAGTAATTCAAACCCCTCTCCCCACACACCCACACCCCACCAGTAAAGGTAATTATGTTCTTACAAAAGATAGTGTAAATGCTTATTTTTCTACCTCCTCTCAACTAATTTTGAAAGCAATTGTTTGCAATATGTATATAACATATACAGACACGTACTATATTTGCCAATAACAAAACAAAGTGGGTGAAAGCAAAGCCCTATGGGTCTAAGGAAATGACCACAGATAGTACTAATTATAACACCCTATCGTTGAGTTTGTAACATCAACAGATGTAATGCATATAACAAAATACCAGAAACATAACCATATAAGAGTAACATTTCTGTATCACTTGGAATTAACCTAGTACAAATCTGACTGCTGATTAAGATATATATGGTAAAACAGAGCAAGCACTGCAAAAAAACCCAAAAAATGTAGAAAAAAAAATTCATGGCCGGGCGTGGTGGCTCACGCCTGTAATCCAAGCACTTTGGAGGCCAAGGCGGGTGGATCACCTGAGGTCGGCAGTTCAAGACCAGTCTGACCAATATGGTGAAACCCCGTCTTTAAAAAAAGATAAAAAAAATAAAAAAAAATTCACGAAAATGCTACGTTAGGAAATATTCACTTTAATCCACTTAAAGAAGGAACAGGGGAAGAAAAAGACAGACTTGTGTAAAGAAAAGAAAAGTAAAATGGCACATGTAAACCTAACTACAGAGACTACCAGACTCGATTTTAAAAAAGATCCAAGTATACGCTGCCTATAGGCGACACATTTTGGTTCAAAGATAAAAATAGTAAAAAGAGTTGGAATTCACAAGTGCCCACTCCATTTGAACAAACCAGGAGAGCCCAGATGCAGCTCAGAGCCTCCCAAGAGGCCCCAGCCCAGGTCCGGGTCCGGGTCCACTGTGAAAAAAGTCCTTCACCTTGATTGTTACCCACGCAGTGAGCATGTGCCCCTTGTCAGACACTGGCACCCCCCTTCAATCGGCACCACCCTCTGGGGTGGATCCCTCATCACCCCATTTTTTTGCATATTAAGTAGCTGGGGCCAAGCTGAGGTCACATGCCGTGTGACCTCCACTGGAGTGGCAGCAGTTGAGGGGCACAAACTCAGCTCTAAGGCATCCAGCACTGCCAGGAGTTGAAACCAGTTCTGAAGGGGGCACCCCACCTTCCTGGGAAAGTGGTCTGAAGCCTCCCTTCAAGGGGGCGTGACCTGGGAGCCCGCTTCTCCCGGGGCGTGTCCCAGAGCCCCGCTTCCCCGGGTGCGGGGGTGACCTGGGAGTCCTCTTTTCCCGGGTGAGCTCCACTTGTCCCACAGGCGTGGCCCGGATCCCCTACTCTCCCGGGGGCGTGGCCTCAGCGCTTCACTGCTCCCGGGGCGCAGCGTGGGAGCGCCCCTTCTCCCGGGGGCGTGGCCCGGAGACCCCTTCTCCCGGGGCGCAGCGTGGGAGCGCCCCTTCTCCCGGGGGCGTGGCCCGGAGACCCCTTCTCCCGGGGGCGTGACCGGGAGCCTCCCTACTCCCGGGGGCGAGGCCCAAGCGGAGACCGCTCCTAGACCACAGGCGCCCCGTGACACTGCCACCGCTCTCCAGACTGCGGGTGGCCCGGAGCCCCCCGCCAACGCTGCCCAGCGCAGCTGCTGCCGGGCCCCAGCCCTCACCTTCCGGCTCCTCATGAGTGAGCACCGCCGCCAAGTCCCGCGCCCCCGGCCCAACGCGTCCCGGCTGAACAGCGAAGCGCAGTCCGCAGAGCGCGCCGCGGCGGCCACCGACGTCAACACAGCCAATCACAGCGCAGCGCCTTCGTCATGTGACGCCACAGTTGTCGCTCACGTAAGCGGCGCGCGCAGCTCGCAGGCTTTCGGCCCGTGGTGGGACGCTGGGGCTGTAAGTCGGCCTGTGGCCGGCAGTGTTCGTGAGGCGCGCGTCCCTTGGCAGCCCCGTAGCCGTCATGTGTCCCACGCCCGTGGCAGGCCTGGGAGATTATGTTTAAGGGGACGATTTTCTCGTAGCGTCTACGCTATATTTGAAGGGGGCGGATGGCCATGTTCATGGGCTTCCGTTGGTGCACCTGTTGCCGCCATATTTGAGAGGGTCGGGCAATCATATTTTTGAGGGGCGTTTCCCTTGAAGCCTCTTTGGCCACCATATTTCAGAGGGGCAGACGGCCATGTTTGTAAGGGGCGCTTCCCTTTTTGCGCTTGTGGCCGCCATGTTTGAGAGGGGTGGAAAAACCACGTTCCTGAGGGGTGCTTCCTGTGAAGCGTCTTTGGCCGCCATGTTTGAGAGGGCGGACGGCCATGTTTGTGAGGGATGCCTTGGTGCGCCTGTGGCCGCCATGTTTGAGAGGGGCCGGCGAGGCGTCCACAAGAGGTGCCTCACTTTGCAGCCCCCGGCCACGACCCTGCAGGAGGGCGGGCAGTGATTTCTCCAGTGCCGCAAAGCACTGGTTTCTGAGCGCCGGTGAACGGCGTTGAGCAGCGCGAGGGATCCCCAGGCCTGTGCTGCCCCGCGACGTGCCGCTTTGGGTTGGGGTGGCCCGCCTGGGAAGTGGCTTCTGCTATCCCCCACGTCGCGGGCCTTAGTAGATGCTGTTGGTGGGCCCAGAAGGCCAGGGTCCGGCGTGGGGCTGGGGGCCCCGACCTCACCCCCCCGTCACGTGCAAGGCAGAAAATGACCCCACCGCTGCCCCGTTTCTCGGGGGGCCGAGGTCGACCCTTAGCGGCCACGCCTCCTCCAGTGAGCATGCCCCTAGCAGACCTTGACGGACACACAACGGCCACGCCTCCTCCAGTGAGCATGCCCCTAGCAGATCTTGACGGACACACAGCGGCCACGCCTCCTCCAGTGGGCCTGCCCCTAGCAGGTCCTGACGGACACACAGCGGCCACGCCTCCTCCAGTGG